GCAGGGACTGCATGTGACTCGTCAGGACCTGTGTCCTTGCAGCTAGACAGGCCCTAGCGTGAAGTGGATGTTCCCCTAAATGTCAGATGAAGGAGGAAATGATGTACTTGAGAAAGAATGAGAGCGTGTTCCTAGCCCCCCACCCCCATCATTGGTGAGGCCCTGACCCTGGGAGCTGGCGCCTCTGAGGTTGGAGTTTCCTGGGTCGCTTTATCAGGAGACCTCTGTTGAGGGGCCCAGCAGGGGGTCTGAGCAGGCTTGGGAATCCCAATGCCACTGAGCGCACTTTGAGGGGGTGTCGGGATGACCTCACCCCCTGGGAACTCAGCGCATCCAGCCCACTTGAGCAAAGAGGGCTGCCACTCTGTCCTGGAAGGAGCTGGCTTTTCTCCCAGCGAGCAGTGTCGCGTGACCTCTGGCCTCCCGCCCGGGCCTCCTTGCAGCTATTGACAGGAGTGTCACTGGCTGCACTGAGGTTACCGCACTGAGGATTTTGTTTGCAAAGAAAAGGGGAGGGGAGCAGGGTGGCAGTTTCCAGAGTGGGCTGGCCCCTTTCCACTCTGGGTGCTGGCTGACCAGGCCTCTGAAACAGAGAACAAAGTCCCATTAAGCTGGTGTCTATCCCCTGGGCGCATGTCACTGCCCCATTTGGCAGAGGTGAGGGAGCACTGGTTATTTTTTTTCTCGCCCATTTTCAAACCCGCCAATGGAAGAGGTGCTCTCTGGTGCCAAGGAGACCAATATCCTTGCCTGCTTTGGAAGGTGGGAAGCCTTGCCCAGTACCAACATTGTCTTTTCTCTCTAATGCACACACATGCACACACGCCACATGGCTTCCTACCACCTACAGTGTTGGTTTGAATTGCGGACTTGGGCACATGTCACTTGAATCAGAGACTTCTCACCTGAGGTCCACAGTCTGCGGCTGGATGTTAGGAAGCACAGGAAGCCCCACATCAAATGGTGCACATGGAGGGTGGGGGCGTTTGGGGAAAGAGAGGCCTGGATAGCTCTCAAGGCCTGTGACCCGGGGCCCTCACGGTTACAGGGCTCCCTGGGAGAAGGGGAGGGTGTGGAACAAGGACCGGAGCCTGGCCCTCCTGCCTCTGACCAGTGTCGCCCTCTCAGAGCCTTAGTTTCATCTGGAAAATGAAGAGGGAGAAACTACCCTGCAGGGTTGTCCTGAAGACTAAACCCAATGCAGAGGCCTGTGGCGGTGCGTTAAGGCCCTGTCAAAGGCTGGTTGAGAGGAGGGTGCAGAATAGACTGGGCTCCCGCTGGCCACTCTTTCCCTGTGGAGCAGAATCTGCTGAAAATTTCAGCCGGGATGCCATCTGCTCGAATGCCAACGCGCTGGAAGCCATCATCTCGGCGGCCAGAGGAGCCGGAGCTGTTGCTTCCTGCCTGCCATCCTCCTGGCGGTAAATGCCATTTCCCCAGGCTCTTTTTAGACCAAAGGAGAGGCTGGGCTGGGGAGATGAGCAGGATTCATTCAGGGGGTGGCACAGTGCACATTTGGGACACTGCTGGGATGGCTTAAAATAGGCCTCTGTCCTTGGACATCAAGGGAAAGCAACTCCAGGGTTTGCAAGAGGCCTTTCCTGGCCAAGGTCACTGGTCCTCCGTGGGAGAAACATTGCAGGATGTATCCCCCAGACCCACAAGTAGGCATGTCTGACCCAGGACTAAACCTTTTCTCTAATAAGGTGGTTTAAAAAGCAGACCGAGTGTTTAGTGAGCACCTACTATGTGCCACGTACAGAGTGTCTGACAAGTTTGCCTCCTTCATCCTTAGCAATCTTGCAGCGTGCTGGTGACTCTTACCAGTTTTCTAGGTCTGGTTTGAGGGACCCAGAGATGTTAAGCAGGTACCTCAAGATCACACAGCTAAGATACGACAAAACCAGAATTTAAACCCGGGTCTGTCTGTCTCCAAGCCTGTGCTCTTTCTAACCGTCTCTCAGAGTGAGATTTAGAGAATAAAAAAACAGGGCAGAGAGATGGAGGTGAGAGGCTCACTGGGTGTCAGGCATTTAGCGAACACCTACTATGTGCCAGGACTTCACTGGCATCTTTCTGTGCTCTCATGAGGACAGTGAAGATGCAACGCAGGTTAGGCTGTGCAAGTGGGGCGATTGGGGCAATTTTTGTGCTTTCCAGACTCTATAGTGTGGCTGCGGTGTTTACCGCAGTCATTTCAATGCCAAAGTTTGGGTTTTCCGTTGACATCTCCAAACTAGGGCACCACTTTCCCTGAGCCGAGCTAAAAGCAGACATCGGGGCACAATTTGGAGCTTGCTTATTGTTTTATTTTAAGCATTTTCAATTTGTGTAAATAACACATCTTCTTAGAAACTTTTCGCTCTGGTTTTAACTCACATCAGGGCTCTGGCCCTAGAGGGGGGAAAATAGTGTTTACCTCATTCCCTGAAGGAAGCTGGATCCTATAATCAAGATTAAACAAATATGTAAACTTCGCTGGTGACTTGGCTGCCTTTTATCCTAACATATAGTTGGTTTTGCAGGAAACTTCCCCTTATAGTAACAAAGCAGTACTTCTCCCCACCCCAGCATCCATTTCCATCACGAGGCCACTCTGAGGAACATCTGCTTAGAATTCCCAGGCCATTTAGTATAGAAACTCTCCGATCGAGAAAGTTGGATCAAGTTTATCGAGAGATAAAGCTGACAGTGATGTCAGAGGAGTTCAAAATAATCAAATAAGGGTGGCTTGTGGTCTCCGGCACTCCAAAGGGCTTTGAACTGTGGTCATATTTAACATTTCCTGGAGAGTCTGCCAGCTCTGGGGACCTTGGAGGGAATCCGGTCTGTGGGACAAGGGAGGAAGCTGCAGCCCAGAAGCTGGTGGCTTGGACAGGGCCCTAGCGTGCATGGGGCACGTGGGCTCTGCAGTCCTCGGGCTGCCTTTCCTGCCAGCTTTCACCCGGTGGTATTTCCCCACTCGTTTGATTTGTCCTAATGCAATAGCTCTCCAGTGGGCTCCTGCTCTTACCGTTGTGGTTTCTGGCTCTGTGTCCCTGGTCCTCGCAGCCTCGAGGCCCCTCCCTGGCAGGCAGTGCTGGCCTCTCTGCTGGAAGCCCTCCGTGTCTCTCTGTCCCCTACACTGTGCCATCTGAGCCTCTCAAGCTGGCATTTAGGGCCTTCTTGTCTGGTACCTGTGACGTCGATGGCAACCTTGCCTCTCACCTCTGCAAGGCAGTGGCTGCCCAACCTCAGACGCCCTCTGCCACACCTACCATAGATACTTACCCTCCCCACAAAGTCCAGCTTCCCCCTCTGTCCCTAGTGTTCCCTCAGCCTGAATGTTCCCTCTCCTCCCTCAAGACCCGGCTCTGTGGGCATCACCTTCTGTCCCCAGGCCCTGGTTGAGTCTGGGGCCTCGTCTAGGCCCTATAGTCACCCATGACAAAGGAAGTCTGGAATGCACCGCCGATGAGCACCTTATCTTGGTGACTGCTCTATTTCCAGTGCCTAGCATGGTGCCCAGCACATACTAGGTGCTCACTGAACATTTGACAAATGGATGAATGACTCACATCTCTTAAGTTCCTTTTCTTATCTGGGACCTTGGCTTTATTCCTTGTATTTTGTCCTCTGTGGGTCAGTAGCTTCTGTTGGAGAGAGGCCCCTCAGCTTCCCAGCTTGGTTTCCTCCCTCGGTCACTGGGGCCTTCCTCTTGGGCCTGGGGAGGGGTAGCTATGGAGTGCTTGCCTCGTCATCGCCTCTCCCTCTTCATTTTCTCCTGTCCCCACTCCCATTAGCCTCAGTATTCATGGAACCCAGAAGTATTCATGTGCCCAGAGCACAGTGAACCCGTGGCTGGGTATGGGAGGAGTGGTCCCTGCAGTCACCTGCCAGTCCCTAGGGTGCCATTCTCCCACCACTACAGACCACGTGTGCCTGCGGTTGCCTGCAATTAATGAGCACTTGCCGTGAAAACACTGTGAACAAGCAGCGGAGACTCATGCACTAACTACCCACCCTGCCACCTCCAGGCGGCAGAACCCCCAGGAACTCCCCCCGGGACGGAGGAGGAAAGGGAAATGATGAAGCCTTCACCTCAATCCCAGGCCACCTGGCTTCAAGGCCAGCAGCCAGATCCTTTAAGAGAGACCATCCCAGGTTTCTCCAGGTCCTTTGGGGCAAAATTCCCTTAGAAATGAATCCTGAAAGGTGTATGTTCTAGAAAAGTCACCTTGCTTACAAAGAATGTCTTCATTTTCTGTGGGTAAAGAGGAGGGGCAGTCAGAATCCTAGCTTGGGTCTCCTTGGAACCGCAGTATTAGGATACTGTTAGTTGCCTATTAAGCACATACTTTGTGTCAGGAAGTACTCTAGAAACTTCACCCACATGATCTTTTAGCAGCTGTGTGAGTTAAGTTACGCGCCCATTTTACAGGCTAGAGAAGTGAACAGCTCTGGCCTATTACAGCCAGGAAGGGAGGGAGCGCTGGGCTTCTAGGTGGTACTTCATTGCCTTTCACTCTGTTATGAGGGATCCCGAGGCTGCATTCTTTGTTGTCTTTTCTGCTTTGCTTTTGAACAAAATTGCACAGAGAAAAGCAACTGAAGACCCCCACCACCACCCTCTCCTCTCCGAGAATCCAAGGCCCTGTTGCAGACTCTGCAACCCAAAAGTGGCCCTTGGAGGATTAGGAAGGATTTGATGGGGGTGAAGTCAGTCGGCCCCAGCCTGGCTACTGTGTGACAAGCTCATTGGTATTGGTCCATCTGGGAGTGAAACAGCTCTGGACAGTGCTTCACCAGACACACACACAGCCTCAGCTTACTCCTCTGTGAAGTGGGTGTAGTGACTTTGCTGTGGTAGTGTTGGGCTGATTGCGGTGGCTGACACCTTCTCGTTTACCAAGTACTGGTCTAATTAAGATGGAATTTAAAATGGAGATGATTATTAGAGGAAGAATCGGGGCTGCACAGTTCGGAAGGGCCCTAACCCTCCTGCCTGTCTCTTCCCGCAGACTCCAGCGCTTCGGCGCGCCTGCTGACCACCCGGCCCTGCTGTGGGCCCGGCCCCGAGCGGCGCCCGGTCCTGGGCGAAGCCCCGCGTTTCCACACACAAGCCAAGGGCAAGAACGTGCGGCTGGACGGCCATTCGCGCCGGGCCACGCGGCGCAACAGCTTCTGCAACGGGGTCACGTTCACGCAGCGGCCCATCCGGCTGTACGAACAGGTGCGGCTGCGCCTGGTGGCCGTGCGCCCCGGCTGGAGCGGCGCGCTGCGTTTCGGCTTCACGGTGCACGACCCGTCGCTCATGAGCCCGCAGGACATCCCCAAGTACGCCTGCCCAGACCTGGTCACGCGGCCCGGCTACTGGGCCAAGGCGCTGCCCGAGAACCTGGCGCTGCGCGACACGGTGCTGGCCTACTGGGTGGACCGCCACGGCCGCGTCTTCTACAGTGTCAACGACGGCGAGCCCGTGCTCTTCCACTGCGGCGTGGCTGTGGGCGGCCCGCTCTGGGCGCTCATCGACGTTTACGGCATCACAGACGAGGTGCAGCTCCTCGGTAGGTCGCTGTCCCCTGCGATAGGCGGGCGCGCTTCCTCCCGTCCAGGGGACGGTGCTCTGCGCCTGGGTGCGCATTTCTTTAGCGTTACGGAGGGCTCGCTTGCTAGGCGAGGCGCGGTTCTAAACAACTGACACGTTTTAATTCACTTCTCAGGACAACTCCCGACCCCTGTTTTACATTTGAGAAAACTGGGGCACGGCGAGGTTAAATGGCCTGAATTGCAAAGCGGGGCTGGTCTAGTGCCCACGGTCTGGCCCAGGGCGCTTGCTGCCCCCCCCCCCC